CCAGTGAAATAAATTTGTAAAGAGAAAAAAGAAAAGGACATGAAGAATTCAGAAGATTAGAATTTGGGAGAACGCAAAGAGAGGATATACCTTCGCCATTGCAAACGATTTTCAACCATGTCATTCAAGGTCTCTAACCGTCGATTGCTATCATCTCGCGGATCTCAACCAGGTAGTCTACACCTACCAACATAGTTCAGTTGGAAGTTCAATGATTTAATCAATAAGTTAATGACCTAATATTTTCTGTAGAGTAGAATATGTTCACAGGATCATAGGAAATCCTTATGAATTAGAAAACGTATTCATGTTTATTTATTTGTTTTTCATTTTTGCCTTTGAGAAAAACAAACCCACTCACTAATTAAAACTTAACTGTGTTTAATTAGTCTAAAATGAGAGTTAAGCAAAAAACGTTTCAACTACATTATGGTTATTATAAATGACCTCAAGTTTGTTTGTTTTTGAAAATTCTATCTGTGTAGATCAGATTTATTTGGAGATTTTCTTTTTGTTTGTTTGTTTGTTAATGTGAATCTAATTTAATGCATAATTCATTATTTAATGATATAAATATACATGTGAACGTATGGTTTTTAAGTGTTCCTTTTTTCCTTTTTTAATGTGTGAAATATTTACCAAGATTCATAATAAATTATGTAATCAATCAAATACAGTGATAGTTATCATGTAATTGTTGAGATCATCAATCAATTGAAGCTAGACCACCATGGAAAACCTGGGACCACTGGACGGCAGTTTCGTCCTGGTATGGGACTCCTCAGCAGTGCGCACCCACGACCTCGCTCCCTGCGAGATCCGAGCCCAGGATCTACTGATTTCGCGCGCGAGCACTTAACCATTAGACCACTGAGCTGGCATCCAACGGTGTTAATGTCTAACTTCAACTAATCCACGAAATTGAGCGACATATCCACTATTGTCATCAGTGAGTTCCTATCTCACATCTGACCCGTCTGAACTCCACTGGTCACTGCTTCTCACTAGAACTCCAGGATATACATCTTGACAATGGTGGATGTGTCGCTCGATCTCGTGGATTAGTTGGAGTTAGACGTTAACACCGTTGGATGCCGGCTCAGTGGTTTAGTTGGTTAGGTGCCTGGCGCCAGACTGATAGGTCCTGGGCTCGAATCCCACGAGGCGGGGTCATGGATGCTTACTGCTGAGGAGTCCCACAATAGAATGAAATGGCCGTCTAGTGCTCCCAGGTTTTCCATGGTGGTCTAGCTTCAATTGATTCATGATCTCAACAATTGGAATTACTAAAATCTCCACAAAACCCTCTTCTGATAATTATCATTGATTTCTACAGTGATATATAATTTGTAAAACAGTGTAAAAATAAGTATTCAGCCTTTCTTTTTGTTTTTTCCCCAGAAAATTGAGATGTAAATAAAGAATAGTTAGTTAAAATAATGATATTTCTCTTCACTTTCACATGCAGTACTTATTACAAGGTTAATGCTATACTTTAAACTATGGTATTATCTTGAACGAAATTGATCATGAGTATTATTGAAATGTAAGCTTAAAAGCAACCTACTGTCTATAAAAAATAACAATGATTATAATGCTGACTTTGTTAAAATATTCAGTAGTGACTACAATTCCACTGAAGTTAATATGTTTTAAGTCCACTACTCTATTACGGCTAATAAGGCAAACAAATTCGGCACTTGAAAGTACAGAACCGACAGGTTGCAAATCGAAAAAATAGAAGACATCAGGAGAAGTATTTTCTGTAGTAATGATAGAAAATCTACTGAAAAACAGGTGCATATAAAGTTTATATAATTGAATCTCTTCGGCTTCTTTAAAGCCTCTGGAAGCTTCATCGCGTCTTCTTGAATCCATACTAACAGTTTGAAAACAGGAAAATAAAGTTACCTATAACGTTAAAAAACTACAAAATCAAAGTATCCAAGTAACTTTAATTGGGTTTTTGTTTGTGTAAATGATGTTGTTTAGAAGATCAATGAAAGCTCCATGACTAAATCATTCAAATCAAGGAACGAAACAACCAAAATCCTTCCAATTTTTTCATCAGTGTGATTTAGATCAATAAAGCAGATATGTTTAGAAAAAGAGATATTAAATAGATATCATAAATCAATCAATTGAAACTCAATAATTTCCACAACTCTACTGAGAAATTAAATAATTAGTCGTTATATGACAGATCTGTAGAGATTAGAAAAATCCTGAACCAGTTTCCGTTATCGATTGATATGGTTATAACCAGTCTTGGTTGCACCGTTAGGAACGAAAATGAAATAGTAAACTCAGGGGTCTGCAGAAATGTAAAATAAATTTCAACTGAACTTGATCAGTATCCCACATATGACTTTAGACCCAGCATTTAACAATTGAAAAAATAGAGAAACTAGAACTAACAATTCGATACCCTGTCTTTTCTCAACCCATTCGGATCAAGTTCAGTAGTTTATTTCATGTTGGTTGAATCTTGACATATAAAGTACTGTTTCCCACTTCAATGGTGTAAACTTTGCACTCTCCCTTCGGTATCAGAAAGTCACATTTTTTATCTCTGAAAAGCCAAGTGTTTTAACTGTTAAGGTTTCCTGAACGAGGATGACATAGCTGCATAGTACTTCCAAGAGTTCAGTGGTTCATCATTTGGTATCAATTCATGATGCGTACTGACTTCAGAGTAATATTTAATTTACTTTTCTGTATGACTGGGGTATATTTCAAATGACTGTTAATTGCACTTTAATACCAGGATACAACAGTTTCTTCTCTTAGACCTGACTATTCCAAAAGATAAATCTTTTAAAACAAATTTTTCATTAGATTTCAAAAAAGACTTTTCTTTACGTTATAATTCATTAGATTCTACTATGTTCACATTCAGTGATCATTGTTTAAAGAATTTGTTAGATTGAAAAACATGTTACTTAGACGATGACCACGTTGAACTAATTGATATAACGAAAGTGCACTGACAGTCACTTGAATGAAAACACCTTAAATTAATGTATGGTCCTATAAACGATTCAAACGGTTCAAACATACATCGTCCAGCTTCACAATCCGAGGTGTTACCAGTTGACTATTCAGGCCCGCTAATAACTTTTCAGAATTCAGGTGAACACTTAGATGATCACCATTTTGTTCTTGGTTTTGTGATGCATTTCTTCAGCCACAAAAATAGTCTTGAGTTTCTTTTGTAAATTTGACGTATAGGTTGGTTAAAAATATATGTAAACAAGAAATTTAGGAAACATATTGTTGGATCTATTTAAATACTAAAATGATATATAAGATTCTAACATTTTATTTTATAAAGGTTGTAAACTTTCATTATTTGAGTTATTTAAAGATATGTATTAATATTTACTTGGTCATTATCTACGTTGATGCATTATACTGTTGGTTGATAAAAGCTTAAAGATGGTCAGTTATTGTTTTTTCACTAAATATCGTTCTAAGCTTCATCAGGAAGTACGCTCTCTGAGAGTGAGTGACGATTATAACGTTACAAAGATATATATATATATATATATATATATATATATATATATATATATATATATATATATATATATATATATATAAATTATCTTTAGTTGTGGATAAAAGAAAGTATTCATTTTCTAAAACGTTCTGTTGAATATTAATCAGGATGGGGATTTTGTAGAGTTTGTAGTAATTTTAACGGTTGAATTCACGATTCGATCTAAGCCAGATCACCAATGAAAAACTGGAAACAGTAGACGGCCATTTCGTTGTGAAATATCGTAGGTTGGTTGAAGTTAGACGTTGGCACCGTTGGATGTGGGCTTTTTGGTCTATAGGTACCTGAATTACAATCTCGCGTGCAGGATACTGACAGCGCATTATTGTGAAGTTCCACACTAGAACGAAACGACGGTCCAGTGCTACCAGTTTTTAAAAAGTTGTCTAATATTAATAGACTCATGATACTATTTAAGGGTCAGATTTACCTTCCCTAGTCTTTCAACCAATCAGTTACTCATAGAGAACAATAATCTTGTCAATAACGATTCGTTGAAAAAAGTTTTAAATTACAGAATGGGATATTTCCTAAATTTAGGTTTGAATCAACACATTTTTTTTCACTGTGAACCATAAATATTTGAGTTTTTGATATCTTACTTACCCTCTAACTTAACAGCGATCTTCGATTAAGTGTTTAGTTTACTTATTAATTGGTTGGAAAAAAAAAACAATAGAATTTGCCTTATTTCTTTCACCTTGGTAAAAATTCCTTTCATGTTTTTCAAACCAAAAAAAAATATTTCAGAACACTTTAGATCTTCACTACTATCTTCGTCTTCACAGATGATTATGTTATAGAGACATTATAATGATGGAAAGATATTTAATTGTAATTTAAGTATAATGTCCGAATAGAGTTAGACACGTGTAATAACATAAAAAAAATTGTATATATGTATATATTCAAAAATGTAGTCATGACAACTGTTAATAATTGCCTCATTTGCATTTATAATCATCCCTTCGTTCAAAATTACAAGTGATCCTATGTTTTTTTCTCCATTTTTCACGAATATGAAATCAGAATTTCTGTTTTCATTTGTCATAAGTATAAAAATACACACAAACAAAACAGACAAAATGCATTTAGTTATACTAACAGGTTTTGCCAAGTTTTAACCTGTTGACAATTGAAAATATCTCGGTATTTTTTATTCAAAACAAACTTCTTTTTTTTTGCTTGCTTGTCATTCATGATTTGCACAATTTATTGTTCATATTATTTACACACTGAATTATACTAATAACTTAATTGTTTGTGAAACATTGTCATATGTTTTCCCTAGAACTAACCATTTAAATGTAAAAACTCATTTGTTCAATGTTTCACTGATTTGTTAATATTTATTCATTAAAACAGAGAAATAAACTTGGCTTTTATATATATATATTTGTTTTATGCATTTAAGCTCTAAGCACATTTAAATAATACACAAATATTCAATGTTTTATGTCAGTATAATATTTACTTATTTGTTTTACTTAACCATCTTTAATTCTCTGTAACCGGATTGGTTAATTTATTCAATGTCAATTATATATTTGGATATGAATTCAAAGCTTAAAACTGATTGATAGATTGATAGACAGGCCAATATACAAACTTATACACAAACATACTACTAATAACATTAAAATATTAAAAAAAAACAGTATACAACATGATCAAAATAATACTAACAATAGGATTAGATTAGGTAGTATTTACAATACTGATGATCTCAATTTTAATTGTCATATACATATTTAAATACTCATTCTTTTCTCTTTTTTTTTGTTTTCTTTCTTTGAATGACCGTTTAAAATGTACAACTGATATATACAAATATATACATATATACATATATGCATATTTTTTTTCTCTCTCTCTCTCTCAAAAAGAAAAAAAAATAATTATAGCATACACACAAATACCGAAAGTATATAAACGTTGAAGAAATGAAAAGTGAAAACGGCAAAAAATTCCTCGATTCTACTGATCATATTAATTTCAGTCAATTAACAACTATTGAACAAGATACTCAAGTAAATTATCACACTTCTTATATTATATAAGTTTTATTTCTACTTATTTTTGTATATATATATATATATATATATATATATATCTTTATATTCATTAATTCAATGGTATAATATGTATTATAATAGAATAGTTGTCAAGCTCAATGATTCTCTGAAAATTATCTATATAGTTACTAAGTGTTTAACTCACGATGAGCTACTATACAAATGACATTGACTTTCGAATATATATATATATATATATATATATATATATATATATATATATATATATATATATATGTTTATAAGTTCTCTACAATCAGAACTTCTATGATTTCATATACAAATCGTGATGAAGAAATTCAAACTATCCAGTTAACATTAAATATTTAGATCATTGATCTATAAATGATTCTTTTAACTTCAGCTTTATACAAATAATTTATCGTATGATTATCGGTAATAGTATTGAATATAAAAATTATTGACTAACAAAATATATAATCTGTTGATTGAATACAAATTGGGTGTTGCATAAAAAAAATAATTTAATAATCGAAACCCTAGTTCCTCGTCTCATAAACTGTAGATTATTAAGAGTTCATAACAGATATATATATATATATATATATATATATATATATATATATATCGGTTGAATAGTGGGAACATTGAATTATACAACTTTTCTCCACAAATATAGATTAGTTTTATTTTACAATGTGTAAGTTGTTTCTTTCAGCTCCAGTCTTAAATATATTTATTCATGTATAATCAATAGATTAGTTACTTAGAATTAAATTGGCTGATACAATTCTATACACCATAGCCACTATTTTGATTAAACTGTCAATTATCATTTTATATTTGTTTCAATAAATTTCATTTCATTTCTGTGTATGTAACATTGTCAGTAATTAACATTGCGCCTGTTTAGAGACTTTCCAGCAAACATATTGTATACATTTTGTATAAAATTTGAATGATTGAAGAAAAAAAAGATTGTTGATTGAAAGGCAGTGCTTACTCAACATGCTCGTTTGTATTTCATTTGTAATTATGTGTAGTTTAGAACGACTACTGAAACTAGGTATATTGTAGATGAATGTAGAATTTGACATTGATAAAAAACAACTGGATTTCTGTGAATAATTAAAACGAAATAATAATCATTCATAATTTTAAATCTGTAATTGGAATAAGATATCATGGTTTAGTATAAATCGGCAATGGTTTAAGAGAAGATAGTATGATAATCAAGTTATCATTTTAGAAATGATAACACCAACTGAAGTATTAGTGTAAGTTAAAACATAGTACAGACATGATTAAGTTTTGAATTGTACCAACATGGTTATGTACAACGAAAAACTCATCATTCAATAAACTTAGGTTAATCAGGCTTCTTTGAGAGTTGTCCAGTTGAGATTGATTAAGATTTGACTCGTTTAATGGATTAACACTCAGAGGGAGAAAACAATTATATATAAAAACGTTTCTTTGCAATACGCTCGAATCCCTTTAAATTTCTTACGTCATGTTATTTTAAACCGAATGTAGTTAAACAAGGAGAATTACAACTTAGAATTAAACGTCTAGAATCTTTAGCTATTTATGCAAAGAATAAGTCAGTTTAACAATTTAGAAAATCACACATTTTTTTATATTCCAACGAAATTGGTGGTTGAACTTCTGACGTTTCAGATAGGTTTCTTCTTGATGTAATTCATATACTATGAAATTCTACCACGCTGAATGAGAATGTACGCTGCACTTTTCAACTATTTTGAACAATTGATCGAGGCAGCTATGTGCAACCTATTAATAATCACGCTCCAAACATATGTACTAGTACACTCATTAGATACCACAACAAACTTCTTTTTTACGCGTGTGTTTGAACATACATAAATATTTACTCAAAAGTGCACAAACACATGAACTCCTTAGTGAAAAGAATATTGTTCACAGATAATAATTGCTTTAATTTATATAATGGGAATGTTTAATATTTAGAGAGAACAAAAAATACGCTTTTCACAGAATTATATCTCACTTGAATAACATGAGAATATCATAAGTGGACTTGTTTAAGTGTTCGACTAGAACTCAGTTATTATTTTTTTTACCATGTAAATTTGTACTGATTCAGAAAGATTTTAATCGTTTATAGCTTTCTATCATACTGAACATACATATATGAATAAAGATATATTTATTTATTCCTTAAAGGTTGGAAACTCATACTTACTTGTAAAACGTTTGAAATTCAAATTTTCTGTTCATTACAATATTTTACAGATATACTATTAGTTTCATTTCTTATTTATAATTTCAAACGATCTGTTCAATAGTCAGTTTATTTGAAACTATCAAGTCAAATATTAATGATGATGATAATAATAAAAATAATATTTATCAGTGAATAATCTAAGAACACTATTACTGGTTCCGTACCACGATATACTTATCAAGAATAATGATCTATAATGTGTAATCATATTGTAAACATTCAATAAATCAATTAGGATAGATTCCTAAATGTCGAAACATACGAATTAATGTATGTATATATATGTTAATACATGGTTTCTGGTCTATAAATGCCTTAATTGCTAAATACTTGAAAATCCAGTCAAAACAAATTATGAAAGAGTGGATAGTTTTCGTTGAACATCATGATAATTTTGGAGCGAAATAAATTTGTAGTTACCATAACATAAATCTTTGTTTTATCATTAGAGGAAAGTTTACTTTTACTTTTAAAAGTCCTACAGATGATATATGTCTCTGTAACATTATATCACTATTGTAGACTGTTACTGAAAACATCATTTACTAATGCCAAGTTGATCAGTAATACTTCAATATGATCAAGATAATATAAGTTAATAAAAACAAATATCACATTTAAATTCTACGGTTAACTGTATGAAAACTGCAATCAATGTATTGGTATATGACCCAATAACAGTATGACGAACCATATAATATTGACTACGGCAGACATACACCTCACATTATTCCCAATAATAATAACGAGTTAAATTTATATTGATTGTTTGTTTCTGAGACAAATTTGTGTAACCAAAACACAAATATCGAACTACCATCATCTTAGTAATTTAATAAACAAATTAACATTTCAACTTTGTTATTTAATCGCATAAAATACAATTCATTTATCATTACGATTACTACGAAATTTCAAATGTAGATTTATAAGTCTTAGGTGGTGATTAATATGTATTATATTTGTAGAAAACAACCGAATTCCAGATAGCACTGAACAGTTGATTTGTTTTAGTATCTAGGTAATGAGAAGTGTACATTAGACACCTTTCACGGAGTGACCAGCACTGAATCTTTAATATAATGTTGTAATTTTTATATTGTGAATCGATTACTCATTAGTCATATATATATATATAGTGGAACCCTATTACGTGTTGGATTTCATTGAACTGCATATTCTCCCTAACTTAAGTTAATTCCAGGTATAATGTGATCTTGATCCAAATCATATATTTGTTTTCCATCATACAACTACAATTACTTGACTTAATGTAACACGGGGACTAAACTCCATCTAATGAACTCTATCTGAATAAATATTAGTAATAAATATTATTTAGTAATAATAATGCTTATCTTAATAAGTAGTTAGCTTAGTCAAATACTCTTCATTTCATGGAAAATATAATCCTCATCATGAAAAAGTCAATATTTTGATTGACTAATTGATTGACATTGTGATGAATTTGATAAACCTCTGATCTTCATTTCAGCATCGTAAATAACAGTGGCTAAAGAGTTTAAAATTAATATCAATATATGTCCTGTACTTCTGTATTTACAATTCTTCCCAGTTAGTCGATAATTTATCGTACATCTTTCAACTCACTAATTTAAGATAATCTCCAGAATAGTGGAAGTGATTGAACAAGATGCAATTCGTTGTTCTTTGATCGACACAGTTATACGAAGTGATGAGAATTTTATAATACAGTATTTGTAGCTTCATAGTTGATTTCATACATTGTTTTCCAATGATTGATCTAAATAAAGTAAAAAACATAGATCTTAATGGAAGAATGTAAATTTCATTTATTTGAAGAAATCTCACTTGACTGGAAAAACGACTGACAATTTAAAAAGTAAATGAATCCACATAATTCTGTTATGAACATTGTTCTACCCACTATACATAGTATACTTTGAACATTAAAGGATTCTGTATAAAAACCGAACTAGAATGGGTTTGCTGTTCAGTGTTATTTGGAAATCAATTCTTAAGTTCTTTTCTTCCAAATTGTAATTTCAGAATTCTTAATTCACTCTATCTAATATCAGAGTAGAACAAGGTAAAATAAAAATGATGCAGTAAATTCTAAACCCTCAATTTGTATTCTACGTTCATAATATATCTAACAGATAAGGTTTTTCATAACGTTTTCAATGTTGAAACATTTTTATGTCTAGTACTTTAATTCATTTTCTCGTCCATTTAATGGGTAAGCGTTGCCTCTAAAAAGTGTAATTTTCAGTAGAGATATCACTTTAAGCCCTAACTTGCATTATATTTGTGTTTATCCTGTTGTATGTTGGATCGCACTATACTAATGTGTTTATACCAAATAGCTGTATATAAATCCAAATTCTCTCAATGAAATATTTAGTGAAATATGCATTTGATTTACAGTACCCAGGTACTAAATGAACAAAAACGTCGCCATATTTGCTGAAAATATTATGAATCACTTTAACCAGTCTGAATGTTATATGATAAGTTAAATGTGAAAATTCACTGCTTTTAACTGTAGATACATTTATCTTGAGTGGAAATAATTTTTTTTTTATAAATACTGATTGTTCAGTATGTGTTATTCGACTACATGGAAACTGTAGTTGAATAAAAATTTCACCAAAAAATTGCTTACTAAACCAGTTTTCCATATCTGTTATCATTAATTAAATTAGACGAGTAGTAGATAACACGTATGTTTTAGTTAATTTTCTATTAAAAATTAATTACAATCATGAAACTCAGCAAAGAGATCTCTTTTCTCCACAAACACTTTTTATCACTCTGTACAACCAATTCTATGAGTAATTATGAACAATGAATAAATACTTACTTACTTACGCTTGTTACTCCTCGTAATAGAGAATAGGACACCTACCAAGTTTCTCCGTAGAACTCTATCCTCGGCAATTTCTTCCAGTTATTCCCAGTTGCTGTACATCTTTTTCATGTTCGCTTTCGATTCCCAACTCATTGTGTTCTTTAGTCTTCATCTTTTCTGGTTCCCTTCAGGATTTTAAGTAAGCGCTGGCCTCGTGATATAGTTTGATGGTTTGTGCACTGTATGTCCTATCCACTTCCTAGATGTTTAGACTTCACTAAACACTTTATTATTGTTTTAGTCTGTGAATAATACAACATATGACTAAACTAATTTTCATAAAAGCTCTTTATCTGAAATGTAATAGTCGGTTCACTTTTGACTTCGAGATATAATACGTTTTGACTAGTGGAGTTCAGATGTGTCTGAAGTAAAACAGTTGTCCCTAATGACAAGAAATGATTCCCTAAGCGAATCAGAAATTGATTAAAAATGGGGTTGTCCCATTACTAGACACTGACCCAGTGGTTAAGGCTTCGCCTCGAGTCTGAAGATCCTGAGTCCGATCCCTAATGAGCTAGTGCCAGTACACTGCTGAGCAGTCCCATTTCAGAATGAAATGTCTGTTTAGTGCTCCCAAATTTCTAATGATTCCCTAACTGGGAGCAATCTGTAACGAATGCAGCGTACAAATTAAATCAATCTTCATCAAACTTTTTAAAAAATGGTCATTATTAAACAAAGGCATCACACTACTATCGGTACCAGGTAAAATTTCAAAACAAGCGTTGCTGAACCAGGTGAGGAATTCAATAGACGTCCAGCTTCGAGATCAACAATATGGATTCCGTAAGGATCAGTCGTGCTCAGACCAAATCGCGACACTACCGATCATCGCTGGACAATCAGTTGAGTAGAACTCGTCACTATACATCAACTTAATTGAATATGAGGAGGCGTTTGACAGTGTGGATAGGAAGACCTTATGGAAATTTCTTCAACACTATGGTTTACCTGAGAAGATCGTCAACACCATCCGGAATTCATACGACGGAGTGCAGTGCAAAGTCGTGAATGGAGGACAGCTGACAGACGTATTCCAGATGAGGACCGGAGTCAGACAAGATTGTCTACCCTCCTCTTTCCTCTTTCTTCTAGTGGTCAAACCGATTATGGAGACCTCCACCTCCGAGGGATAGCATGGAATACAATGGACAGCTTGGATTCAGTTAGATGATTTGAATTTCACAGATGATTTGACTCTTCTATCTCAAACACATCATCAAATGTAAGTGAAGAAAGTTAAGTTAGTGGCATCCTTTGCATCAGTAGGTCTAAACATACACAAAAGGAAAACCAAGATCCTCAAATACAACACAGAAACCACCAACCCAATTACAATTGATGGAGAAACTCGGGAAGAGGTAGAATCTTCCACGTACCTGGTCATCATCACCGATGAACAAGGATAATCTGATACAGACGTGAAGGCGAGGATTGGTGAAGCAGGGACAGCATTCCTATAACTGAGGAATATATAAAACTCAAAACAACTGTCAGTCAACATCAAAGTGAGAATCTTTAATACGAACGTCAAGACAGTTCTACTGTATAGAGCTGGAACTTGGAGAATTATCACAAGAGTTATCAAAATGGTACAAGTATTTATAGACAATTGTCTGCTCAAGATACTCATCATCCGTTGGCCAGACAACATGAGCAACAACTTACTGTGGGAGGAAACAAACCAGATTCCAACTGAAGAGGAAATTAGAGCAGTGGACAAATCAATTATAGATGTAATTATGTTTATATTTAAATAAATTTAATTATTAGAATTTCATTTTCTCACATAAAATTGCCAATACTAGCATTTAATTATGTATGGAATTGAATGGGCCTCATTTTCATAATATTCAATGTTCAATACATATCTGAATGCTTAGCGACAAGTTTGCCTGACATGATACTACAATTATTTTTCTATATATACATTTCAATGTTTATTGAATTAATACACAGATTTAAAGCAAATTAGTAAATACAAATTTCTTGGTTATCCTGTCCTAATAGTTTTTGGTCAAATTATTGAATTACTGAACGGTTTGGAGTTTTTTCATCCTTATTCAGCACTTTTATACCAAAAGAAATTAATTGCGATAGGAACATTCCTTGACTGTGATGTCAGGTGATCAGTTTTAGGGATCCCTGTAAACAATCAATTCTTTATTGACCAGAATGTCTATAATTAACAACTGGGGTTTCTGGTGAGACTATAGTTAATAGACGACCTTTGAACGAATCTTAAGTGACCCTGAGAAATATTAGCCAATCAGAAAACAGTATGGAGTAAAATTATATTATACGAAACCAAAGAATTAAAGTGGATACACTTATTTTATATGGTTCATGTCCCTTTTGGGATGACTTGTCGTAAATTCCAAGGACCTATGAGATACAGCAGTAATTTGATTACCACGAACTTCTCAATAATTACGTTTGTTGTATCCGCTCAATTATCACGTCTTCTCTAAAATCCACTGTAAACCGATCGTACGTAAGCATCAGGTACGGAATTTCGCGCCGTGACCTTGAAATCCCTCAAACGCTCCTGATTGGCTCGTCCATAATTTATAATTTCGGCGTATGTATGTATGTATGTATGAGGTAACTGATGCACATCAGGAAATTCAGAAGATATACCATCTGATTTTTTGAAGTGGACTCCTTTCTATCATTTCTGTAATCTTTTTTTAAAGGAAATTTTGTTTACAATAAATATCAGTGTATTTGACAGTTTTAATTTTAATCTCGTTCGATTAGCTGATGAAAATCAGTAAATATCGTTTGAATTAACCGATTGACAATTGTAATGAATAGTTATATGTATAAATTTTCATTAAAATGACATTCATATTAAATGTAAATTGTAGGATTCACGTATTCATGATTGATAAACTGTAGTGTTAACAGTAGTTATAACATTAGCAATGAGTTTTATTCAGTAACATAAATTTTGTTACAATAATAAATTGTTAACACTGATTGTATTAACACTGGAACAACTTTCTACTTAGTATGTATTCAAGTTGTAATGACTTGGAAATATCTTTCATAGATCATTTCAATTATCACCTGATTACTACTTATACTCTTACTACCTCTACCACTATGGGATTTGAATCGACAGCTGCATCTCTGTGCTAATTTGGTACGGCAACTCGAACTGATGTACGTACGTAAAAAGTTCTACGATGCTACTGAATGACTGACTCAATTATCACTTCGCCGCCAATCTACGATTATGAAAGTTTTCCACCAGTTCAATTGTTACGCCTATTTTTTGGTCAACCATCAAATATATTGATGATGCATAAACCCCGATATATTTGTCTTTGATTCTTACGAAGGATATATCAAGGGAAAAATTTACAAATAAGTGTATTGTTTTCATTAGAGTTTTCTGGTATTTGGCATAGTAATAACTTTTAATAATAATAGCAATCTACTACATGCAGTTTGTCTGCATAAATACCTAGTTCAAATAAATCCAATACGTAATAGTTCATTGTAGTATAATAAGTTGAAAAATAGATGATACAAAAGTTTGAATTGGCCTCTTCAGACTTTCTATTCAAAAGAGTTAGCATATGTTTGTTTTATGATAAGCTTAATTCATTTGATCATCAACTTTTGAACGTTTGTATCTGGATACTTAACTGAATAAAAAAGCACCTAGAAGCCTTTAACAATATAAATCGTTTGTCCATTAAATGAGCTTTCAATCTAGCTAAAAACTATCATACAAGACTATTGAAAATTTGATTTTATTCTTCTTGTAAATCACATAAATAACTTACCAATATTATTATTACTCATATTCTATCAGCTTTTCTTTAGTGCGAGCATTACATGTGTTTATTTTACAGTTTTCCAGTGTATTACACATACTATTTCCAATTGGACATATATAGATACATAACTATATAAAATAAACGATTGAAATATTCCAATCAACATGGTTTTTGGAAAACAAAAATTATCTCAATTATTTGATTTTACCAAATTTGCTGCTGTAAGTGCAACAAACTTGAGCTAACTACTATTACTACTATCGACACTAACTATAACACTATAACAATCTCATTACTTGAAAAGTTTTTTTATTTTTTTTTTTAAAAGACTATATTTTTCTCAGTTTGATAACACTTGAAAAGTATAACAACAATGAAAGATTATTTTATGCAAAGACAAAAATAACTATTAATCAATGTAAATTTTGTTATCTGTCAGTTCACTTAAACTATGAATCATTTCATTACAATACAGCATCCTTTAATCAATCTTATATGCATTACTTACTTACTTACGCATATTACTCCTCGTGGAGAAGCATAGGCCTCCCACTAGCACTCTCCATCTAACCTTGTTTTGGGCAATCCTTTCCAGCTCTTTCTAGTTGTTATTCATCCTTTTCATACCTGCTTCTATTTCCCGACGTAATGTGTTCTTTGACCTTCTTATATGTATAACAGAGATGAAATATCATCTTGTACAAGATCTACGAAACAATCAGACTACTGAAAATACTTATGACATATCTTCGTCGATGTATATTTAAAGAATAACATTTCTTTATTATGCTTGTAATACATTAAACATGTATATGATTTTCTATCACAGCGAGAAACATAAGCCATTCATTTGGAATTAGAGCAATGGGATCTTATCGTGTGAAGTTCAGTATGTTGGGTAATTTCAAAATATTAAGAATCCGTTGAAATAAGAAATGTACACGATTTGATTCTGGCTCAACACTCAAGAGGTTAAGCGTTCGAGTTCAAAACCAGATGTTTTGAGTTCGATTACTTGTGGATTCCTATAATAGGAATTGAAACAACCGTTCAGTACATCAATTTTTCACTAATTGTCTAACTTAAGTCGGTACATGATTTCAAGAACAAAAAATGTTATGTTAAATAAATTAAAAAACTAAACACTTTTCTGTTGTAACTAACATCATAATATTAATTCACATAATGAATTATATTCTTATTCTTATGGAATATATCATTTCATATTCTTACTGTGAATTTCATCAAATATCATAAATAATAATAGTCATTATTTTATTACATCCCTGTTACATTAATATCCATCAATTGAATTACAAAACTAGTCATCATTTTCTGTATGTTTATTAATAACATTGAATTCTTTCTGTAACATTCTAAAAAGCTTGTTTTTATTTACTGATAGTTCAGTTTCTTCGGTGCATGAATTTAACTTATGAATTAATTATTTTCAGAAGGGGTTTTGTGGAAATTTCTAGAAATTTCACTGGTTGAAATCATGAGTGAATTCAAGCTAGACCACCATGGAAAACCTGGAAGCACTGGACGGCCGTTTTGTCCTAGTATGGGACCCCTTCTGATAATAATCATCTGTTCACTAGTGACTGACTTCAATAGATACTCCTGGAGTTCTAGTGAGAAGCCGTTACCTATGGAGTTCAACCAGTTCGGTTGTGAGATATCAACTCACTGAAGACAATGGTATACGGTGGTGCAACTTCGTGGATTGGTTGAAGTTAGACATTAACACCGTTAGATGCCGGATCAGTGGTCCAGTGGTTAAGTGCTCGCGCGCGAAACCAGTAGGTCTGGGTTCGAATATCTCAGGGAGTGAGGTCGTGAATGCGCGCTGCTGAGGAGTCCCATACCAGGACGGAACGGCCGTCCAGTGTTTCCAGGTTTTCCATGGTGGTCTAGCTTCAATTCATTCATGATTTCAACCAGTGAAATTAATTATTTCTTATTTCTTCAGATTTATTCGTAACAGTTTAAACATATCTGAATTTCACAATGATGTATATATATAATTGTCATAAAAACAGATATTTTAAATGCGTGAGACTTCAGAAAGCTTACAGTTTACGAAATTATGATCCAATAGCATTGTTAATATAAATTTGCCCACTATATTATAGATTTACTAAATATTTTATTGATTGAGATTAGTACTCTATTTAGATTTTGTTCTGTTTGCCAATCATGAACTATAGGTGATTAATTAATTCGATCACCTAAACGTGTAATTCAAAACCGAATCATTACATATATGCTAACACCGAATTATTTCACCTTTGACTGGACTATTATATAAATTATGTTAGTCAAAGATTGTGTGTTGATTTCAGAATGTTGAGTAAATTCCATCGACACTTTTCAGGATGTACTAAGTGAAACAACTTAGCCTTATAATCAGTCGTATTTCATATTATATTATGAGAAAAAAAAGATCATCAGAAGTATAAATACGTAGATTTTGTGTCTAGTTAGCTTGTAGAATTATGGTCTACTATGATATTAGTACTGCTCTAATAATAGACCCAATCATAAAATTGTAGACTTGTCATGGTATAACTGCCTAATCTATAAGATCTTACATGGAAGTCACATCCTCGTCTACAGCAACTCACTGCATCGTAACAATTACCAATACATGATGGAGAATTAACTTAGGCTAGAGAAAGAACAATATATTTAATGTGAATAAAAGATATAAGGTAACATTCCGCAGGGACAACGCCTGCATGACTAAGCCATGCCATCAGATCAACTCCAATTAATTCAATTCCTTGTTCCCGCCTTTTCCATCGTTAGGTATTTCTTCGCGTCAAATATATGTCTCGTGTTCAGCTTTGAGGATTGTGTGGTTATTGTCCAATGCCACTACAAGCTCTCTATTGAGAAAATGTATTTTGTACATTGAAAAATTACGTATTTACAGACTATGGTAAAAGAGTATCGTGAAGTCATTAATAAAATATATTTTTTTGTTTTGTGTAGTAAGTATAAACCATGTAAATTTCATTTTCTCACATAGAATTGTCGTCAGTCCTCCCTTTTTTTTGAAAATAAATACTAATATGACTAATAGGGTCACGTGACTTGTTGTTACTTACTTCATAAGTTTATCTTTATGACTACTGAATGATGTAAATTTACAAGATTTGTTTAGTATGTAAAGATGTAGTTTTTCACTAATATGTTGTTTATCAATTCTTTTCATGCATTATCATATTTTTCATAGCATATACATCATTTTTTGTCTGAGTAACACGTATACATTCTTTTAAAAATGTACAATTCGTGTTGATTATCTCAGTAGATTTAACTGATAGATTGTTTTACAGGTAGGTTATTTCTTCGTATAATTCAAGATTGTTATTACAATATTCATGGCAATCATTAACGTATTTAAGTATGGATTGTAGTAGGAAACCGTTAACTGTAATGTTGATAATACAGCTAATAATAATACCAAAAAGTGTAATAACACGATAGTATGATGTACCAACACAAACACGTATCTCACTCTTTAAAGTAGATTAGAAAAAAAAGCTTATCAAAAGTTACACAATACTCTTGACTAAAGTATATGAATAAGTGAAGTGTAATGATAATACTGAGAGAAGCATCAAATTGTCGTCAAGATTACAGATAAAACTTGCTGACAAGTGGCCACCATCAATTAGAACTGTAAGTATACAAATCCCTTTATAGATTTCTTCTATTTTACAATCAACTTCATTGAAGATAACGGATAATAGAAATGTAGAAGAAGAAGAAGTTTTAAGTTAGAAAAGTTATTTTTAAATACATTTTTAAAAGATATGAAATAAATAAGGACAAGAGAAATGTAGATTCAAATGGAATGACATAAAACAAAGTGATAAATAATATTAATTACTTTTATTCTATGAATTACATTTACGTTTTCCATTAAATAAAACGCAATACAGTTAGTTATTGACTTGTATTTCGATAACTGAAGTTAATTTTGTATTAAAATTGTGTTTGTCCGGTAAATTCCTTGTTATTTTTTTTGTTGTTATTAACATTTACAAAGGAACAATGTACTCATATGGTATCGTTTGGCTTGTTTCTTCACATTGAGGTTTAAGACTGCAAATGATCAGTCTGTTATTGGCATATGTGCATACTGTGTGTATGCCTCGATATTGCCTTAATTCACAAGCTTTTTGTAAGCAATGATGGATAGTGGCTAGCAGTGGAATCCAGGACGCGCGTTTCGTCCTATTTGGGACTCGTCAGCTGGATGTACCTGAATCTCAGAGTTGATGTTCATATTTATCCGAAACAAACCTACTCGAAACTCTAGAATTATAAATCAATAGACTTATCACCAATCCGTTTCATATTTGTTTAATTTCTATCTAGCTATCCATAATTCTTTATAAATAAATTTTAAAATTATTCTTTATTAATCTGTCTATGTTGACAACAATCTAAATGTCGTATTATCTAATATAATCAAGTGTTCAAATTTATATGCTACATATTAAAATGATATCTATCATACACTGCACGAATTTCAGTTGTGATTCAACTGTTATGTGTTTTCTAAAACAAAATATCCATTAATAAGATAAGTGACATATTGAATGCATAAAAGTGTTGAAATCAATAGTTTTGAGATTACATTATGAACTTTATCAACAGTGGTTTAGAGGTCTTGATGTTACGCGTTTACCTGCGAGACTGAAGGTCCTGTATTGGAATGTTGAGTGCAGTATTGTATATGTAATCTGATGATGAGTCTTACACCAGGGAGAAACGATCTTCTAGTGGTGGTTTAACTTAGATTGGTTGGTGCTTTCAATGAAATTCAACATTCTTCACAACCTCATACTGAAACTTTCATTATCTTTGTAAGTTTTAGTGTTTTTCTGTTTTCACTTGATGTTATGCTAAATGAAATGAATTTTTGTAGAATTAATTTTAAGTATTGAGAACTTCCTATAAGTAATACTTGAAGCGGCTTCCTCAAAAGTTTATGCTGCCGAATTTCCAGTAGGTGAACTTACCTATTTTACAATTGTTTGAACGGAATAATAATAATATAATAGTAATTTATATTCAACACAGTATTATGAAAATTTTACAATATATCACTATGTTTAAAGCTGGAACCGAAAAGCTGCATTTATTGAGATGTTCTTCTTCTCTATGCATTTTGAAAAAAGACAGAAGGCGAAAATATTGCATT